TTACTCTCTCAGGTCAGGTTTCTTCTTCTTCCCTTCACATGAGATTAAATAAACAGAGCAACATAACTTCTACTTTACATATTTGTTAACACAAGGTACACAATACAATTCACAAGCTCAAAAAAAAAAAAAAAAAAGAGATGTAAAACAGCCACATTACACAATGCGAAAATCATTAATTACTTAGAAAAAAAAAAAAAAGAACAAGCAATTTTAGCATCATAAGTATATGTGAGTGATACAAAAGATGAATGGACATACCTGCACAAAAAAATTGGCCTTGATTCTTTATTTGCTTTAGTTCCTAACTGACTTCGTTTTTCACTTTCTTCCTTAAATTTGGTAGCAGGGAGAACTTCACATGGTCCTCGAATCAAGCCCACCATTACAGTGATATCATTATTAGACTCGTAAACCTACAAAAGAGCAACATCAGTTAATATAAACTCCAAAGTGTGTAAGCAATGTGGTTTGTTGAAATGCTAATTCCAAGAAGGGGAGAGTACAGATTTTCATAATTTCATGAAACTGAGAAGTAAAAAGTAATTGCATTTCACTAACCATCAAATAGTATATGTTGATTAATAAAATCATCACATATAGCAAACAAAAGATAGAAGAGAAATGCATGAGAGAAAACTCTACAGATACAAGAAAAATGCAGCAGAGGATAGTTTACCTCACTGCTTTCAGGGGTATAGGGACGACCAACAGTCTCTGGCAAGTCACTAGGAAAGTAGCACCTCCGGACATTAACAAACTTCCTACCAGTTTCAGCATCCTCCCACATGGCCTGTCAGTAAAAATTCAAAACTTCTAAAATGAATCTGCATAATATGGAAACAAAGTTTACTGGGCTCACAAAACATATTAAGTGGTTGTTGACATGCTCACCTGAAGCTTAGATGGTGCTAATTTTTCATTGCTAAAATGCAAAAGAGCATGATCATGCACCCTGTAAGTCACACCACCAATACAACAGGAATGGTAAAATTTTTTTTGATCCAAAAGTTGGATTACATCACCAATCCATTCAAAAGCATGCAACACATCAGAAGAAAACTCTGTGTGATTTGTAACCTCCAAACTTGGTCCAGAACTTTGAGCAGGATCTGCCAGTGTGGCATCTTGCTTATTTTGTTTAATTTGTGTGCCGCAATCACCATCTGCTGTCATATGAGATTTCTCCACATCCTCAACAGTAGAATTGACTTCATGAAATTTATTTAAAGGAATTTCAGCAGAGTTTTGCTTCCCCATGTCAACATCTTGCATACCATGTGAAGGCTGGGAATGATGAGACCCTTCCCTTCTTTGGTTAGAGAATGTATCAGGAGGCTGTGATTTTGATTCAGGATCTCGTCTCTCTACATTTGTAGAAATCTTGGGATCAGGTGCTGACCAAACAGAGGAGCTTCCTATGGTACCTGGCACAGCAGGAGGTTGAAAACCAGAGCTTCCGTTCTCTGTTTTCTTTGGCTGATTCACTTTTGCATCTGGGTTTCCAACTTTATTCCTAGCAGTTAACTGGGCTTCAGCTGTGTTAGACTGACCTACAGCACTGTTAGTAAGTGCTTTGGCTGTGTTTATACTTCTCATAACACGACCATATTTGGGAGGCAAAGGCTTTCCATTGCATAATGACAAGCACCTTGTGCAGTGCCACTCACCTCTAGGAATTCCTCTCAGAGTGTTTGGTTGCAAACATTTCAAGTGAAATCCTTTCTCACAAGCATCGCAAATAAGCACAGTTTCCACTTCATTAATGGTGAGTTTGCATGTTTGGCAAGTCAATGCCTTATTCATATAATCTCTTGAAGGAGGAGTCCAAGTTGGATGCTCAGGAAGCTTTGGTTGCAATAAATTCTGAACAATCTTTGCAATTTCATTGTGATTATTGATAAATGGTGGAGCGTGAACATAGTTCATGGCATGCGTTGGAAAAGTCCCTGATGGCGATTGAGTAATGAATGGTCTAAAGCTTAGATCTCTTTCTGCTTGAGGCACTTGGGACATGCTCATATCAGGGCTTCCCTCGGCCTTGGCAGAATTATGATTCAGTACCTTGTTTTCTTGTCCCAATTTAGATGCCCCTGGTGGGGACTGTAAAGACCAAGTTGGAGCATTCACAAGAGAATGATTAGAAGAAGAATTTGCTGCAAGAAAACAATTATAACCTCTGAGAATAGATACATAATATCCAACAAAAAAAAAAAGAAAAGAAAAAAGACTTCATTAAATTCTGACAAGTTTGTTGAAGAAAGAAATGGTTGCATATTATGTTGACTAGAATCAGTAGACAAAGGGACACCACAATCTTGGCCCAAAAGCCCAGCAAGGAAAATGGAAAACTAAAATAAGCTCTTCCAAGTTACTATTTGTAATGAACTCGTTTGCGACCAAGGGAAAAGGCAGGTTGAAAGAGAGAATTACAAGGCCTTTGTGAGACATAAGAAGACACATTTGACCCTTCCAACTTAACCTGTGGTCTTTCAACTCTAGGAAATCCAAACAAAGATGAATCCCTTCCCAAATGGCTACTAGGCACTTCAGAGGTTACTATTGATGCTCTTACTTCACTAGTGGACAAGGGATGAGGTTAAGGAGAGGAAGATACTGCAGTAACTGGAGCAGGGGATGATGAAAAAAGAAACAGCTGCATGATTTGGTTTATCTGATGGCAAACTACAAAGACTATGTGATGATTGATACAATAATACCTGTTCGCAACAGCTGAGATGTATATGTAGGAGAAGGTGCCTGGAATTTCTTGGATTCTTCCATCTGGGAAATCATTAAGGAAGTCAAAATTCAGATCAGTAACTTATAGAGTAACAATACATGCTTATC